AAGAGAAAAATCATATGACTCTTTCACTAGATGTAGAAAAAGCAATTTAAAAATTCAGTACCCATTCACAATTAAAAGCTTTCAGCAAACTAAGAATAGAAGGTAATTTCCACAACTTGAAAGGGACAGCTATGAAAAAACCTAGAGGTAATATTGTACTAATAAAAGATCAGTATCTTTCCCCTAAAGATCAGAAACAAAGCAAGGACATCAGTCCTTACCACTTCTTAACAGTGTATGAGCTGTAATAGCCAGTGCAATAAAATGAGAAAAAGGAATAAAGGCCATTAGAAGAAAAGAAGAAATAAAATTATCTTTATTCACAGATAACATGATTGTGCACACAGAAAATCCTTTGAAAATCTGAAAACTACTTGAAGTAATAAATTTAGCAAGGCTGCAGGATACAAAGTCTCATAAAAATCAATTATATTGAAAAAAATCCAATACTGTTTATAATAGCATTTAAAAAAATAAAGTTCTTAGAGATAAATGTAGCAAGAGATGTGCAAGACCTCTCATTAAAAACTACAAACCACTGTGAAGAGAAAGTAAAGAAGATTGAAATAAATAGAAAATTATGTCATGTTCCTGGATAGGAAGATTCAGTATTTTTGAGATATTAATTTTCCCCCAAATGACCTATAGATTTAACAAGATCCCAACTGAAATCTCAGCAGATTTATTTTTTAGAAAATGCTACACTGGTTATAAAATTTATATAGAAGTGCAAAGGATCTATAATAACCACAAAATCTTCAAAGAGAACAAAGTTGGAAGATTCACATTACTTGATTTCAAGGCTTATTATAAAGCTTCTTGGTATTAGTATAAGGATAGACCAAAAAATAATACAGAGTCCCAGAAACAGACTTCATCTACACAATCAATTGTTGACAAAGCTGCCCAATCAATTCAATGGGATAAAATAAATCTTCTAACAAATGGTTGCTGGGACAACTGGACACCCACATGGAAAAAATTTAACCTTGAACATTTGCTTTCACCATACAAAAATCAACTCCAGATGGGTCACAAAGGAAAATGAAAACTAAAAGCTTTTAGAAGAAAGTATTTTGGAAAACAGCTTGATAGTTTCTTATAAAGTTGAACAAACACCTTCCCTGTGGCCCAGCAATTCTATTACTAGATATTTACCCAAGAGAAATTAAAATATATGTTTACACACACACACACACACGTACACACACAAAATTGTACAAGAATGTTCATAGCAGCTTTGTTCATAATACTCTCAAACTGGGAAGAAGCCAAATGTCCATCAACAGAAAAATGGATAACCAAATTTTGGCATATCTATATTAAAATTCTATATAGCAATAAAAAGGAAAAAACTACTGATACATACAACATGGATTAAGCTTCAAAACTTTATCCTAAACAAAAAACCAGATGCAAAAGAGTATATTTTTTATGATCCAATTTGTATGAAGTTTTAGGACAGACAAAATTAACCTAAAGTAAAATACATCAGAATAGTAATTGTGTTACTGGGAGGTGGAGACAGAGCAGAGGATAACTTGGCAGAGATATGAGAAATTTTCGGGCGTTGAAAATGTTCTGTTATTTGGCAGGACTGTGGTTTACATGAGCATATGCATTTATCAATAATCACTGAACTGTACACTTAAGACATGTGCATTTCACTGGACGTAAATTATACTTCAATGCAAACATTTAAAAAACTGTTAAAGGTCACTGATCTGCAATATTTAGCTAGGATAGGAATTTCTAGGTTATTTTATAAGATGTAAATAGATGAATAGATAGATATTAAGTAGTATCTTTTGCTTTTAATTTGTATTTTCCTGGTTACTAATGAGATTAACCAAGTTTTCTATAAATGTGTGACCATTTGTGATCCTTTTTATCCTACAAAATGCCTCTTCATAACTTTGCCGATTTTTCTAGTGCTTTTTTTTTACTTTTTGTGTTGTTTACAAAATACCTCTTAACTCCAAGATCATAGAGACATTGTTCTGTATTTGCTTCTAAAAATTACGAAGTTTACATTTAAGTCTTTAATCCATCTGGAATTGATTTTTGTGTAAGGTGTGAGGTAGAGACCAATTTCTTCTCTTTTTTTCCCACCTCACACAGATAACCAATTGTCCCCAAACCATTTACTGAAGTCTAACATCCCCAATGTTCTGCAATGGCATCCTTGTTTTATATTGAGTTTCCATATAAGTGAATCTGTTTCTGACTATATCATATTTCTTTATTCTGGTTGTCTGGCCATACAAATATCACATTAATTTTGATAGCATCAATATATAAGAAAGCAAGACCTCACCATACTCTTCTTCGTAATAGTTTGACTATTTTTGGAACTTTCCTTTTCTATATAAATTTTAGAGTCAACCTTTCTAGTTCCTTGAAAAACCTATTAAATATTTGGCCCATTAAAATCCAGTATTGATTGGTACTTTTACCCATTTCCAATATAATGCAAAGACCTTAGAAGACTTTAAACTAAATTTACTCCTTCCTAACTTATAAGCTGCTGTTCTAATTTTAATCCTTTGTATATATTTAAACATACAAATAAGACATTATTACTGTTGTTTTATACAATATTCATTTAGATTTACTCATATATTTACCATCGTCATTGTTCTTCACTACTTCCTGCATCTCTGATCTTCTATCTAAGATAATTTTCCTTCTGTCTGAATAATGTCCTTTAGTATTTCCTTTAGTATGGATCTCCCAGAAACAAACTATCTAAGATTTTTTTCAAGTTTAAAACATCTTTACTTCACCTTTATTTTTCAAGGATATTTTCCCTAAGCATTGGGTTCCAGATTGGCAGTTATTTTCTTTTAAAAACCTTAAGTATATCAGTCCATTGTCTTCCGGATTCAATAATTTTCAGTTGAGAAGTTACCTGTCACTTTATTTGTTGTCCCTTTGAATGTAATTTTTTTTCCAGCAGCTTTTAGGATTTTATTCTTATCTTACTATTTATTTTATTACAAGGTATTTAGGTATATATTTTATATAAATATATTTATATTCTATATAAAATATATGTATATTTATTTTTCTTGCTTTGGTTTTATGGGGCTTCTTAAATCTTTCATGTGATTTAAAAAAAATCAGTTTTGGGAAATTCCCAGCCATTATCTCTTCAAGTATTGTTTCTGTCCCTTTCTTTCTCTTTTCCTTTTGGAACTCTAATCATACATAAGTCTGACCTCACTCTAACTTATGTCTCTTGCTCTCTTTTCTAAATAACTTACTATTGTTTTGTCTCTTCATTGATTTGAATTGTTTAGCCTTCTCATTCACTAATTATCTCTTTTAATCTGCTCTTAGATCCATCAAGTTCAGAATTTCACTTTTATTTTAGTTCTATAATTTTTATTTGTTTCTTTCTTAAATCTGTTCTGCCTTTTTAAGGTTTCTAATGCTCTGCTGAAAATTTTTGATCCTGTCTTCTATCTCCTTTATTACAGCAAGCATAATTATTTTAAAGTCTGTATCTTTCAGAGCCAGTACCTAGCTGGAGCTAATTTATGAATGTTTACATAGTCTGTTATCTGTTACATAAGCTATTTCTCTTCAGTGTATCTCCTTCTGCCTGGTTATCTTTGAAAATTTCTTCACTGTGTCAAAAAAATGTTTGTAGAAAAAATTTGAGGTCCCTGGAAACATTAGTCATCCAGGATCACTTTAATCCAATTTCAGGAACTAAGATTTTCTGGATTACTCTCACAATCTAGAGCAGAGCTGTTATCTGGGCTGTTTTCCTTCTTGTTTACACTTAGAAAGCATTTAGAGCCAGGAGATTTTACCAGAGTTCCTACTCTTAGTAGGCTCTGGTCTCTAACTTTAACTTCTTTAGCCCCATAAAGATAGCTATCAAACTCATTATTTAGCCTTTCAACAAACTTTTCTGGTGGGGAGGATATAGCACAATTGGTAGAGTGCATGCTTAGTATGCACAAGATCCTGGGTTCAATCCCCAGTACCTTCTCTAAAGATAAATAAAAAGTAAATAAACCTAATTACTTCCCCACCACAAAAAACAGAAATAAAATAACTAACTCTTCTGAAATCAGAAAGTCTCCAAGAAGGAAGGAACCTGAAACCAACCTCTCTGTAGGTTAAACTCTTTGAATTTAAGTCTGCACACAGATTTTGAATTGGTGATTTTTCATCACCTTGTTAATTCTCCAGTGCCACGGTATATATTCTTTTCTTCCTTTCTTTCCTTCTTCCTCCCTCCCTCCCTTTCTTTCCTTCTTCTCTTTCTTTTCTTTTTCTTTTCTTTCCCTTCCTTCCTTTTTAATTTTCTGTCCAGTTTTTCTTGTTTTCCTCTACAGAAAGTTTGGTCCAAATGACCTAGCATGCATCACTATAACCAGAAATCTCCTATATACAGTTTTCTCTCCTATCTAAGATTATAATACAATTTTCCCATGATTAAATATTCTTCAAAAACATATTAAATTATATTGTATTACTACAGAAAATATGTTCACCTGTTGCTCTAGGATCATATTCTTCTCTCGCTCTACATTGAGAACCATTCTCTTTGTATATTCTAGTTGCTTCTCTAGAAGGGTACAGCGAGACTGGGCTGAGCTTAATTGCATACTTATATCTGTGAAAAAGAAAAAGATATAATGAGTCAATTAGTTGATTATCACATAGATCAGAGAGTTGGTTATCACAAGAAATGCATAATATGAATCCAATCAGAGCCAAAAGTTCTGCTTCTTAGGTCCTAAATATTGACTATCTCAGAATTATGAATACACATTTTGTGAATATCTTATTAATTATATATAACTGGCTTAACACTGTCTCCTCCTAAATTTAGACCCAGAGGGCATACTTCTAAAAGGGAAGGATGTCAGTGACTTGTGAGAGAATAAAAATCCTGGCTGTTCCTAGGAAATAACACCATCTGGAAAAATAGAGGACCTGAAGTCTCTCCCTATCAGTACATGTCTTCTCTCAGCAAACTCAGGTATATACATTCTACTATTCCCATCTTCCTCTGTTCTTGACTAACAACAGCACAGTCAGTTCCATAAGAAGTAAGTAATCTCATTCTAATCCTTTAACTTTTTACTTTCCTCAACTTTTTCTTCCACTTTTGTCTAATCCTTCGGAAATTTTTTTCACTCCATCTCTTCATTTTATTTGTAAGTTGAAACACAAACTTGAATCTTATTTATGACGGTAAATGTAGTGTTACACGGAAGAAAAAAGCCATAATTTTGCAGTGAAATTATATAAGGAACATTATGTTCTAAATCTCTAAAAACTTGTGTCCAGATATCCTTTTCATAATTTCCACAGAAACCTCTACCAACCTGTCCATTTCTTCTAATTAATATTTCATGTTAAATAAATCTTATTTGTTTATTTTTATTGTTTTTAAATTGTTTAATTACTAGTGTTGCTTTATATTTTCAAATAAAAAATAGTGTTAACTGAAAACAAAGTATTTCAACTATATTATGGGCTAATAATTTACTGGATTTTGTTGGTATTCTGAAAATATTCTAATTCCTAAACACAACTTATCTAAAAACTTAACTTTTCTTTTAATTTCAATAATTTATGAACTGGGATAACAGATATAATAGAGGCAGGTTCAAATTTATATCCATTTACAGCAAATATCAAAATGTCTGAGAACAAGTCCTCAAGGTTTGAATGCACGTAAAAACAAAGATATTTGAGTAAATCTTCTTACACTGGGCTTATTATTTTCAAGCTGTAAACTTTGATAATCACTTGTTTCTGGAAACTATTAAGTTTTCTTACCTTTTTTCTGCTTTATCAGTTCCTGGTGTGCCAGATTTCTCTCATTTGTTTCATTCTCCAAGGCCTTTTTATATTGTGCTGCTTCTCTGGAAATAACATTCAAGTTATCTTCAGCTTGTGTTCTCTCTAACTCTAAACGATGAATCTTTTCCTGAAGAGTTTTTAAGGCTAAAATAATAGCTATTGGAAAAAAAATGTGTATGATATTTTAAGTGAGGATTTTTGAACACATAGAATCATAGCAGCAAAAAAGTAAGAGCAGTATATTTTTGTTTGTGAGCCAGGAAAAAAAAAATATATATATATATATACATGCCTCATAAAAAAGAAAAATGACAAAAACTCTGAGGGACAAATTTTAACATATCTTATAAAAAACAACATATTTATGGTTGTATTGAGTAATTTTCTAAATTTGAGGTTTGAGAAAGCTATTAACCACAATTTAATTTAATAAAATAAGTATTTTCAAATTAAAAGACAAAAAATATAACGTATAGTAAGGGAGGTATGAGTCCAAGAATGGATAAAGAAAATTAAAATAGTGTCCACTAGTTAACAAGGAAATTTATGTTTAAAGTTTTTCTCAGTGCTTGATATGTTGTTTCAGTCAAACCACAAACATTTGTTTCTTTGTCCAAAATATGAATTAGGACATATGAGGTAGAACACAGTTTCTTCCATTAAGAAAAAATTACACCCCAATGATTTCATTGATGTCAGGCTTGAAAGATTTTAAGTGTTACACATGTATTACTGTGATTCGTATTCAGCTATATTAGTATCTCCATGGTTCAGGTAAGTACAGAGTTACAATATTTTTAGATATTATCTTATACTCTCTTTTCAGTTATAACTTCAAATTATAAAACTAGAGATGAATGGAATATAAATAAATGCTACAGGTTAACTTTCATATAGCTTATATCCAATTAGAAAGATATTTGCTAGAGATTATTACGTGATTTGGATTATTATTTCTTAGAGTTGTTTTGCACCACAAACTAGTCTATTTATTAATGGCAACTGCTATTATGGAGTATTTTAAAAAAACAATGCAATAATCAGCATCTAAGAAAGTAATGTAAATGTATGGCTTAGGTATGCCTCGAGTCATAAATGTTTTAATTCAATAAGATCCTCCTAAGTTTATATTTTAAAAGTTATAATACTTGTATTTTGTAGTTATTCCAATATACTGGCTTCCTGAAGAATTTTCAAGGGTAATTTTGGATATATGCAATTTCTGAATTTAGTTGTTGAATAAGACACAATTTTACTTAATTCACTAGTATTTTAGTCATCTTGTTTATTTAGAAGGATTCTAAATCTGACCTTTTATTCTTCAAAGAGTATTTTCCTATTTCCTAGTGATGCTTTTATGATAAACCTGCAATATATGCCTGACTGGTTATGTTAATCTTCATTTTATAGCTGAAGAAGCCAAAATAAAAAATGTTAAATAACTCATTTAAGTTTACATACACTTTAAGCAACAGAACCAAAATTAGCAGTTTTATTAAGATTAAATACACAATCATACTATTTTCTACATAAAAATGTAAAGTTTTACATAACATACTTCGTACAATTTCCCTAGTTTTAAATAAGATTTTATGTTAGCATTACCTTGGCTATTTGGACTGTGAAGCATTTTAGTAGCAGTAACTTCTAAGTTCATGGAGTAGTGAGATGATTCATCACTCTGGGTAAATGACGGAACAAACACTCTTTCAGGAGGTCTAAGATAGCTTCCTACTATGCTATGCATTAATTCAGAATCCATTATCTGTAGAGAATAAAGGAACGACACAGTACAGCATTATTCTTTCCTACATGAATAACAAAAACATTAGATAAAAATTCAGGTGAAACTTTAACATAAATACATAATCATATACTGCAGAGTTGTATCTTAATGAAGTTAGTTATCACAAATTCAACTATAAGTTCAGCAAAAAGAAAGAAAAAAGACTATTTACTCTATAAATAGTATAGACAAACCTGCCTGATTTTCAATGAGTATATATGCTTTGGAGTGACCATTACATGGGTAGTGAATTTGCTAGTTTCTCAGTTGATCATAAGCTCATCATCTGAGCACCCCACTACAAACAGTTTGATTCCAGGGTTCAAAGAGAAAGTACATATTCTAAAAGACAACAAAGCTTTGAAAGACAAGCCACCCATATAATACAATCCTGTAAGACTCCAGTGTATTGAGATTTCAGTATACTGTCTTCCTAAGATTTTCAGTGGTAAATCTGAACATATTAATTTCTGAATCTAACCCTTGAATAAGATACAACTCCATTTAATGCATTAACATTCTAATCATCTAGTTTAGAAGGGTTCCAAATCTGAAGAACGTAAAATAGTTTTACTTTGCCATTCTGGGCTTTTTTTGTTTGTTTGCAGAAGAGCCTTTTTAACCATCTTAGCAGGTAATTTTTTAACTTTCTCAAATCATTTTATTTTCCTTCCTGTAAATATTTAAATATTTTAGAAATGTATTCTACTTAATGGATTATAGTCAACATTAAATTAATTATAACCATACTGAAAGAAATAGGATAATAATTGTTTACACACAAAACAATTCATCAGCACAATTTTAAGAAAGTTTGCTTTTAAATTCCATTATATAATTATATAACTATAATTAGCCTATTTCAATTTTTGAGAATTGAAAATTTCCAGTGACTTCAGTACTTTCCCAATTCACAGGGCAAAGGCAAACATTTCCGTGACTATTATTTCCTGGGACAGCAGAGAACACACTTCACTCAACAGAATTTTCTACTTTAGCCGCTGCCATGATGGGGTGTCTTCCAGGCCATTCTCATCCATCTAAATTAGCAGTTATATAGCCTACGAAGCTTTGCTAGAATACCTGATGCTCTTTGCCTTTAAGAGACAATCATTTTTGCTATTGTTATTAGCACCAGGGACCGTTTATTAACCATGTCTCCATCCCTCTGGGTTCTTGATGCTCAGACACTGTTCCTCATGGGACAGTACATCTATCTAAGATCTATTCCCTCAAAAAATAAGAGAGCAAAGTTAGTCATAGCTGGCTTACAATAAAATAAAGGTAGGGCACAAAGTGCAGAAGTTCTGAACATGGCTGTACATCTTCAGAGAGAGGTATGTGGTTGAAACTATCCAACAAACCTTGGAGATATCTGATTCAGTTTTTTGCTCCTGCTGAGTTTCTCCAATAATGCAAAGAATGAAATTTTGCCATTAGTCACTATACACTGAAATCCTTCAGAGGACTGTCTGCTTCTTCTGTCCCAAATAAAAATATTATTTTACAAAATGAATTTTTGCACTAATTAATAAACAGGTTCAAATTTGAGGTTTTAATGTATATGACTACTAAGAAGATACGAGTAAGTTAAAAATTAGACCAAAATTTATTTAAATTAAATGTGTAAAAACACATCTTAAAGTGGGCATAAACAGAGTAACAACCTATTGGTAGGTAAAGAAAAAGAAAGGAAATAGTAAAGAAATGAGAGAAACAAGCCACGGGGTTCTCATTACAACGGGAGTTCCAGCTTAACCCTTGCAATCTAGCGTCCTGTGTTATAAACAAGTGCATGAACCCACTCAAAGCTCATTTACATAAAAAACTGAGGCATCCTAGGAGAAAAACTCTGAAGGAATATGAAAGAAATTCAAAAAGCTTGATCCAAAATCAATGCCTTAATTTGCAGAGGAGGGGAAGAGTGATTCTGAGTAGAGTATGGTGGTGGTCATTCTAATTAATCTCTGACCCAGTCCTGTGTACTTAATACGTGGGTGTTGGGAAGAGAGAGGTCTATAAGTAAAAGTGAGAAATATTTCACCAATATCCCTGTAAAAGATTGAGGTATTAGCTGCCCTGCTTTGAATAAGATGTTATATTCCAATGAAGGGGGAAGCTGCCAGGGATCACTAGCACAGTTTTGGTACTTTGAGAGTTCCAGTGCATTTGTAGTATTGCTCAGCCAGAGAGAGACCGAGAGTGAAAGCAGATGGAAGGGACATATTCTTGGGCATGTATTTGAGAAATTTCTAGAGAAAAATTTCTGAAAATACAGAGGTGCCTAAGCCCCATCCTCCAAAGATTCTGGCATGTGTGGTATGAGGCCCAGCAGTAAGTAACTGAAAAGACCTCAGAAACCCTTGTTGGAGCATTTTAGAGGACCCACAAGTAGAGGCCAAAGGATGTAAAATGTGGGCCTCATTTGTATCAATAGCCTGGTAAAGCTTAGGGAAACTCAAGTTATGTCTGGAATCATTCCTGACAGCTTGTAACAACCAGGGAAATTATTCATTTTCTCTATGGTATATAAAAATAAGACATCTTAATTGGTTGCAACTAAAGTGCCACTGCATAAAGCAAATATCCCTCCAAAAGAATGTGCTGGACACAAACACTAAGCTGCAAAGCATTTTCACTTATTCTTGTGGGAAGCAATTATTCCAAAATTGTCCTTTTAAACAACCAACGTGGTGGCTGACTGTACAATCATCTTTGCATAATCCCATAGGACTATCAGGGAGACAGTATCAGGAGTCAGGTAGAGATACTACAATGGGTTCTTGAAATAGAGGACTCTGTTCACCCAAGTTTAGATTTCTCCTTAGAGAGACTGGAGAAAGGTTAACAGCTCTATGTCTTTTATCTGGTTTTGTTTGTGTATGCATCCAAGTTAACTTACCTAAAGAGCAAACAACAGTCAAGGTTGGACTACCTTTATTTTGAATGCGTATCACTTTAAAAAGTACACTTGTAACTAAGTAGAATAATTTGTGGTTAAGGAATTTGCCTCATAGATGCTCTCATAGATATTATAATCTATTATTTATAAAATAAAATAACTAAAATGTTAGGATAGTGATGTAAAAAACAACAGGTCAATGGAAATTAGTAAATCTAAGAACTTAACATAAGCACTTCAATGGGATTCAACAAATGAATAAATTGTTGTTCTTTCAAAAAATGATGTTAGAAAAATTAGGGAAAAAATCCAGTTAAACTTTATCTCAGTTCCTACATCAATACAAAATTTCAGATACATTAAGAGTTAAAGTGAAAAAAAACCCCACTAATCTTAGGGGTGAGATGTTTTGTGTTTAAAAACGGGGGGAAGTAAAGGAAAGATACAAAGGCTACATTAAAATTCATCCTACAACATAAAAATTATGAACAAAACTGAAAGGCAAAAGAAAAGCTGAAGACATAGAAGTTGTATACAAATCAGGATGTCTTTTTGCAGAGAACCTCAATTTTCCTGGTTTAAAATCATACAGCACCCATGTGTAAGCTAATATACAAGTCATAGTGCAAATAACTGTACCTATCATGTGAGTTACTTGTACAGAATCAAAAGTTTTCATTCTGAAATTAATTCATGAAGACTTTTTCATTCACGAAAATTGCTGTGGCAGGGAAGTAAACTATACACAGTTTTACTGACTATTATGTACTGAATTGTGTTTCCCCAAATTTGTATGTTGAATCCCTAACCTCCAGTACCTCAGAATGTGACTGTATTTGGAGATAGGGCCTTTAAAAAAGTGATTAAGTTAAAGTGAGGCCCTTGGGATGGCCCCAAATCCAATGATTGATTCTTTATAAGAAGAGGAAACTTGGATACAGAGATACACCAGGGATATGTGGGCACAGAAGAAAGACCATGAGGGGACACAGTGAGAAGGCGGCCATCTGCAAGCCAAGGAGAGAGGCCTCAGAAGAAACCAAACTTGCCCACATCTTGATCTTAAAATCCTAGTGTCCAAAACTGTGAGAAAACAATTTCTACTGTTTAAGCACCCAGTCTGTGGTGTTTATTTCGGCAGCCCTAGCAAACCAATACACTGCAACTTATCCCTCTGTTTCACAGTGAATGAAACATAAGAATAGTGACAAGGACATAAATGCAGATGCCTAAGGTTTACGGTATTTAGAGCACATAATAAAGTTATTTGCAATTTAGTTTCCTACTTAAGATGTGAAACAATTATGTAACTCGGCCTTGATTTATTTTCCCCTTATAACTGGCCTTATAATTTATAACTGACCTTCAGTAACATCTAAAGCTTTCTAAATTGACTATGAAATGACTCATGTGCTATCCTATATGCAATAATTTAAAATAATTTAAAAATTTCCCAGCATAATCAATAGAATAAAACTAAAATTGTGCTTTTGACCCATATTTAATTTATATGTAATTGAATTAGCTTTAAACTCAAATATTAGCAGTAATTTTAGCCTAAAATATTACAAAATATTCCTTTAACAGTTTATATTAAAAAAATAAATAATACTGCTTTAGATTTAAGAATTAAACTGATATTCAAAAAATTACAGAATTGTGGAATTATAGAATTATGAGACATTTTGAATTACAGAGACATTCACAACTAATCTGAAGGTTAAGATACAATCAAATTCAGGAAACTTTAGAAGACAGCTAAATGGAGACTGGTTTTTAAAAAAACATTATCTCATATTTACCTCCCAAAACATTAGCAGTGACAAAGGCTGTATTTCAAGTTATTTAATTTGAAGCAGTGGTGACTGTATGAAAAATATTTGGGGAGTCCATAGTACTATAAGTTTGTAGAAGTCATAAATAACTGCGAATTTTAGAATTGATGGGGAAATTTTAGATGTCCATTTAAAATCTGTATCAATTCCAATATTTTCATTTTGTAGCTGTAAAAACCAAGGTCTAGCGATACTAAGTAATTTGCCTAAGGTTACACAACTCAAGTTTCTGTACTCCGAAA